CCACCTCCCACCGCCCACCGAAGTGGGCAACCTCCCTGTGCGTTTCTTAGCTTCGCGCCCGGTTGGATTGCCGGGCACTACTGAGCCCCCCCACCACGACAAGGTGAACGCACGTTGGGGGGGAATGTCAAATAAGGCCTGAAATCAAAATGTTGGCACTCAACTTTGCATTTTTGATATAATGTAGTTTTAATGATACAAAACAATGTGTAAAGGTTATAGTGCCCGCAACCCCCGGCAAGAGTTCAAATAACATAGTCAAAAGTATTTTTTCGCAATTACTTAAAGACGGTAAAAGTTAGACAAAAAAAGTTTTAGTAAAAATAGGTAGAGCTTAAAATTTTACATCAAAAAGGTTTTAATAACTTTTTTTCTTTGGTCAAAATTAACTAAGTTAGGGAGGTTTTTAAAAATTAATAAATAATTTTTGCCATATTCAAACTCTGATTGATTTTTAATTGACATAATGTATTATGAACTAAATTACAAATATTTTATGTACAGAAATTCGACCTCTGCAGTTTTATTATAGTATAGAGATAGATTTTTAAGTATTGAAATTTCAATTTGAAAATGTCTAATTGTTATATTTTTTTACAATAAAAAATTTTGTCTCCTAGTTTGTGTCTCTAAAATTAAAGATTAGATTTTTTTAAGCAATTTAAAAAAATAATTAATATTGGCTTCTTTTTCTACTACCTACGATTTTTTTAATTTACGTTCAGCGCTTAAACTAACAAAATATATCAGAAATTACATTAAAACTTTGAATAATACTATAAATTTTTTTTAAAAGAAAAAAGTACCTATGGAATATGCATATTACAAGACGTAAAAGAACTCTCCAATATTAAGCCACGCCCAACCTCAAGCAATTGTTGCAACAAAGTGATGAAAAAATTACTGGCATTAGATAACTTTAATACCTAAATCTAAATTAGATGTGCTGGTCATTGCATCCTTGGGTCCATTCCGCGATAAACAATAGCATTCCCAAGGAGGGTTGACGTCAGGCAGGCGTGGGGCGGCCGGTCGTAAAACTTTTGTCAAATCCTATCAGCAGTAGGTACAGAAGATGTACTGCGCCGACCCCAAGTGATTGGGAAATGGGCAGGGAGATGATGATGATGTTCATCCCCTAACCTTAAAAACTTCCTAACTTGGTTAATTTTGACCGGAGAAATAAAATCATAAAACCTTTTTGATGTAAATTTTTAAGCTCTCATATTTTTATTAAAACTTTTTTGTCTAACTTTTACCATTTTCGAGTAATTGCGAAAAAATACTTTTGACAATTTTTTTTTGAACTCTTGTCGGGGGTTACAAAAATAAAAAAAATGTACAGTTTCCGTGGGATAGATTTGTTTTTGTTTGTCAAGAAGCGAAGTGCCGCTAGTCTCTATATATAAAAAGAAACCGTGACTGCATCTCTATCTCTAAGCATCATCTGCATAGCTCAAACCGCTAAATAGATTGGGTTGAAATTTGGCACAGAGATAGTTATTATGACGTAAACATTCGTTAACAACGGATTTTTGAAAATTAAACCCCTAAAAGTGTGAACTGGGGCTTATAATTTGTATGAAGAAATCATATAATAGAGATGTATTAATTCGAAAATTTGCATGATTACTCCTGATAACAAATAAATAAACTCGTGTTTTGTGCTTTTCCAAAAACAATCTCTTCAGGGGATTTTTAGTCTAAAAATCAAACTTGGCACAAGCGAAACCTCGGGTAAAAGCTAGTCTTATTACAAATGTAAACTTGTTTGAAATAACTGGTTGATCCAATCTCATTAATGGTGGACTTGAAACTTATAAAAATATTTTTGTTATTAGAAAGTTATAAGATAATACCTACATACTTTACTACGGTGAGTTTTCAGTTTCGTGTATTTTGACAACTCATTGCTATAACAACATTACCCTTCACATAAAAGGGATGAAAAAGGGTGCATTTTGTTAGATAAACAACATTTCCGAGTAATAAAAGTAGCGAGCTGAATTGAGGTTACTAGCGTGCTAACATCAATCAATCAATGGCTTGCTAAATTTTTTTTATTTTATTAGTACAACAAAAAGCTAACAAATATCATATTCTTCTGAACTGAAGTGAGTATGTTTATTAAATAAAACTATCCTTTCGGTTTTTTTCGCGAATTTATTTTGATTTTTGGTTCCTGACGTTTCAAATGCTTTACAGCAATCATGGTCACGGGAATGCTGAAAATGCTGTAAAACATTCGAAACGTCGGGAACTAAAAATAAAAATAAATTCGCAAAAAATCCAAAAAGATAGTTTAATGATACTATGAGTAGGTATGCATATGTTAATAAAGCAAGACATTTTAATTTTCGCATTTACTCGTAAGAGGTGACAAAATATATTTTGAAGCAGATATGGCACCCTATATTTTCGCGTCGCGTGTCTATTCGAAGAGTTGTATTATTTGTGTTGTCATCACGCGAATATCTAATAATACTAAAACAGCAATTCTTGTATATACATAATATACAAATTTATTTCGTGTGTCTCGAAAACGGCTCTAACGATTTGGATCAGATTTTGTACTTAGATAAGGCTTTGCTTTGTAAGTTTATCTATATAGGTGTCTCAAAAAATACAATGAATCATGAAATCAGGTATTTTTACCGAACTGTCCATGCTCATATGTCTATACTCGTAACTGTACGTTATATCCAAAGCAAAAGACCTATTTATTAATTTTTTCTATAATATGGTGGCGAACTGAAGAGTTATCTTTATATATATAATTCTTCTGTGAGTGTGTATGTCACTGAACTTCTCTCAAACAACTGGACCGATTTTGATGAAATTTTTTGTGTGTGTTCAAGGGGATCTGGGAATGGTTTAGATTCACAATTTGAATAATAATTTTCATCAAAAAAATTATTAAAAAATGTTTGAAATTTTCAAATTAAAGACGTGTAGACAGGACAACGTCTGTCGGGTCCGCTAGTATATTTCATAAAATAATATAACAGCTACAAAATTACTGAGTTAATTATTTCAATTAACACATGATTTTAACAAAAAATAGCTAAAAATTATGCTAGTTTGTTGTAACAAAAAGAAAAGGACACAGAATCAACTAAGCCAATTTGTCATTTGTCAACTTTGAAAAGAATCTTGGCGAGAACAAAGATGTTTTTAAACTATTACATTTCTATCAAATAATTAAAGTGAGTAAATAATAATCAATCCAAATACACCATAAAACTTTGATGCTGCCATTTTGACAAAAAATACGGAAAGTTATTTATTAATTATCGTTTTCTTTCTTACTAGCGAGTCACACTCGCACCGCTCGGGTTCCCTAGGTTGTTTCCCCATTCAAAATTTCATCCCCATTTTCACCCCCTTAAGTAATGATTTTGGGAATAAAAAATGTCCTTTCCAGAGTCTCAAGCTATCTCTTTACCAAATTATATTTAAATCGATCCAGTAGTTTCATCTTTATAATATTAGTCTAGATATAGGGTTTTTCTGTACAACTTGTTTTCATAATTAATCCAAAATCCCATTTTCACCTATAAAGCTAGGCAACGTATTGACTACCGATTGCTTCTCTCCTAAGCAAACAAAACTGATACGTAATTGTAGAATACTGTACTGCAAGTTTATTTTTCTTTCTAATCTCTACCGGGCTGTAATATAAGTAGTTTACTTTGGAAAAGTGGCCAAAACAAGAGTGCCCGCTAAAATTAGTTTGCTGAAGTCGCCATTTTATTGGATTCTTGTGGACAATATATATTTTTGAATGATAACTTTATTAATAGTATCTTTGACTTTTATAAATATTACATTTTTGCGATTTTTCATCATTTAAAGAGAATAGGCTAAAAATAAAATTCAGCTACATTCAAAGATCATTTCTTTCATTAACTGATTGAGAACTATTTTGTTTAATAGAAAGCTATTTTCGTGTAACTAATATTTTCTTTCCATTAGTATTTGTGTCTAGACATTTGTTTAAAATATTGTAATTTGTAGATACATAATTTTCGTTATGTTTTGAGTAAAGTTTAAACTAATCTTTATGTAATACTTTCTTAGATTTACGCGAATACTTGACATTTTAAATAAAACTATCTTTAATATAACATCCCATAATAAATTATGGGATTCTGTTATTAATATAATAAAATCTAATAATAAATCTAAACATAACAGACAGGTAGATGTAGTAAGTTCTTACTGTGTAGATCAAGATGATAGCATTTCTGATTAATATTTTTCACTTTTTCATTTGTAAATGTATGTAGTAATGTGTTGCTTAATAATCTATTTTTTAAATCATAGCAAATTAAAATTAAAATTAGTATTTTTAATTAATCTTAACTTTTTCAAATTACACATAGATCAATTATGTGGCTTAAATAATTAATATGTTATGATTTTTCTTTATAGTTATGAATATAATAATGGCAACACTAAAAATGTAGATTACTAATTAATATTTTTTAAAATTGTAATAATTATAATAATAACAGCTCAAGTTTAAATGAATAATATTCCATATTCAATTATAAATCTAATTAAAATTATATAAAAATGTTTAAAGTTAAAAGTTACAACTATATAATACCTTAGAGACATCTAACACCTCAGTCTCTCCCGTGACCATGATTGCTGTAAAGCATCCGAAACGTTAACGAAAAGATAGTTTTATTTAATATTTATGTTATATAAATAAATGTTTTATGAATTGTTTTGTCTTATATATATATTATAAACACTAAAGAACAATACTAGAAACTTTATTACATAAATCTAACAATTAATTATTTACTTTTAAACACTTGTATTAATTTCTGGTTTGTGAATTCTTTAACAAAAACTATCCAGTGATGCACCGATTCGTATATCGCGCTAGCCCGAGAAAAAGTAAAGTCAACTTGACAAAGACTCTTGACAGCTTGATGTACTTAGTCACAGATTAATTATCAAATATTAAAATAGTGGATTTATCCTTATACGGCCTCTCCTGACATTCTGACGCCCTCGTCAGGCTGAAAAAGGGCATCTTCTTCATTGCAACGGTTTCGAGTTCCAGCAATATCAACATCCATATCATCTGCATATGAGGAGGTCATTAACTCATCTGAGTGGTCTGCACCTAAAAAGTTACAAGCAAAAAGTCATTGTCAATTTCAATGTTACATAATGCAATCTGTGAAATGATAAACATCACAAAGATAGATTGCACATTCAAAAGGCACAAGGCTAAACATATCAAACACAGGATCTAGTATTTTCACAAAGTTAGACATAACACATCAAGTTCTAGTATACACACAAGACTAGACATAACACATAAAGGTCTAGTATAAACACAAGTCTAGACATAACACATCAAGGTCTAGTATACACACAAGACTAGACATTACACACAAGGTCTAGTATACACACAAGACTAGACATAACACATCAAGGTCTAGTATACACACAAGACTAGACATAACACATCAAGGTCTAGTATACACACAAGACTAGACATTACACACAAGGTCTAGTATACACACAAGACTAGACATAACACATCAAGGTCTAGTATACACACAAGACTAGACATAACACATCAAGGTCTAGTATACACACAAGACTAGACATTACACACAAGGTCTAGTATACACACAAGACTAGACATAACACATCAAGGTCTAGTATACACACACAAGACTAGACATAACACATTAAGGTCTAGTATACACACACAAGACTAGACATAACACATTAAGGTCTAGTATACACACACAAGACTAGACATAACTCTTCAAGGTCTAGTATTCAAGGAAGAGGAAGTTACTTACTAACAAAGAAAGCAGCACATTCATCAGGAGTCCATTCCCCCTTCCACGGCACCATAAACTGTGCCCCGGCATAAGTCAACTTTCCATAGGCTCCAGTCAAAAGCTGCAATTCATAGCGCCCATTCTCAAGGACCCTTGTCACTTTATAAGGACCACGCATACCAGGATCCAATTTTCCTTTGGATTGCGCGTACTTAATTACAAAAACCAAATCGTTGACTTGAAATACTTGAGGTGGCTTACGTCCCTTATTGACGTATTCATCCTGCTGCTTTTGATTGTCTTTAAGACGCTCGGTCGTCCTTTGCCTGGCTAATTCCCTCAAAGATTGGCGATTAGTTGCTGAACAATCAACTGTTACGTCGCGAACCAAAGCTTGGATTACAGGAGTAGCACCTTCACTACCAATCATAAGATTTAATGGAGAAGTTTGAGTCGTCTTTTGCTTAGTGATATTAAGCACAAGCTGCAAACGCCATAGCTCTTCAGACCAATCATTTTTCTTATAGTTCGTCTCTATACGCAGCATATTAAGTACCGTACGCACGTATCTCTCTACTTGGCCATTCGCGTGGTGCATCTCGGGTGTTATATGGTGGATGTTACAACCAGAATCATTCATCCAATTTACAAATACAGTCGATTCGAACATTCGACCACTGTCAGTAACAATAAGTCGAGGGGTACCAAATAAGGACATTACATTTTTCATCACACGCTGAAGCTCTTCAACGTCTTGTTTACGCAAAGGGTACAGAAGACAATATTTAGAGAAGGCATCTACTACTATCATAACATGCTTATAACCATGAGATTCCGGTAAAGGGCCTAAGACATCTAGATGGAGCGTGTGAAAAACAGTATCTGGCTTAGGCCAAGATGTAATAAGCTGTAATGGGGCTCGCGGGGCTCTTTTATGGGCAATACAAATTAAACAATGACTTATATATTTTTTTACAAATGCAAAAAGGCCCGGAAACCAAAAGTGATTTAAAATTAGTCCAACCGTTTTATCTACTCCCATGTGACAATTTTCGTCATGAAAAATTCTTAATAAACTCAAACGATAACCTTTAGGAATGTAGCAGAGTAAACGTGGTTGACCCCCTAAAGGCGTATATTTGTAATAAAGTATATCGTTCTTTTTTTGATAACGATTTGCATCTAGTTGTCCCTCATCTAACTGGCTAATTAGTTTTTGCGTTTCTTCATCGCCTGATTGCGCTATTTGTGCCCAGTTCCGCGGTCTATCAATATGATTTATAACGCGGATAGGATTGCGACTCAGATAGTCGGCGTGAGGCATTAAAACACCTTTTCGGTACACGATTGTAAACGAAAAGTCCTGTAGGTAAACCCACCATCTTGCTACACGAGGTAATAAATCTTTTTTATTTTGTGTGGCTTTAAGAGCGTTACAGTCAGTGATCACCTTAAATTCAATGCCGATTAGATAATGACGAAAATGCCGCAACGCTTTGACCACTGCCAAAGTTTCTAATTCGTAAGAATGGTACCGAACCTCTGCCCCACGTGTAACCTGACTGTAGTACGCAACAACACACTTACTACCATCCTTACGAATTTGAAGCAAAACAGCGCCATACCCAAGACTGCTAGCGTCAGTATGAACTTCAGTTACAAGATCTGGGTCAAAAATGGCAAGGACTGGTTCGTTCGTCAAACACTTGATAAGGTCCTGCCGTGTTTGCTCTTGTTCTTCGCCCCATTTAAATTCTATGTCTTTTTTTGTCAAACGAGCAATACACGAGGTTTTAAGAGCATAGTTTTTTATATATTTTCGAAAATACCCGGCTAATCCCAAAAACTGTCTAATCTGGCGAATATTTTCAGGGACAGGAGAATTAACTAACGCAGTTATTTTAGATTTAGAGGGACGCACTTCACCGTTTGAAATAAGCCGACCTAAATATTCAATTTCCGTGTTTACAAATGTACATTTTTTCATATTTAGAGAAAACCCAGCATCCGTTAACGTACGCAAAACATCTTGCAAAAGCTGTAATCCTTCCTCAATGGTTTCACTAACTAACAAAACATCATCGATATAAACCATGACCTTCCCGTTATTTATAAAAGAACGTAGTGTATTACTAATAATACGCTGAAAAACCACTGGCGCATTAGCAAGTCCGAAAGGCATTTTCAAATATTCGTAATGGCCCTCAGGTGTTACGAAACCGGTTAACGGAATTGAGGCATCATCTAAGCGAATCTGATGGAACCCAGAGGCCATGTCTAGAGTTGTAAAGTAACGACCCTTACCTAAACGATCTATGTGATCCTCGATTAACGGTAGAGGATACCTATCTTTTATTGTCACCCTATTTAAAGCGCGAAAATCGACACACATCCGATCCGTCCCGTCTTTTTTCTTTATCAAAAGTATTGGACTTGCGTACGCAGATTCCGATTCACGAATAATTCCTTTCGATAGAAGATCTTGAATTATTTCGCGGACTTTCAATTTTTCGTTAATCGATAATTTGTAAGGTCTATAATATACAGGTGCATCACTGTTTAAGCGAATGTGCATGCTACCTGTAGTTACAGTTGACGTAGCAACTCCAGTAATCATGAAGTTTGAGAATTTCTTCAAAATTATTTGAAGCTTTTCATAATCGTTCCCGATCAATGAGGTCTTGATAGGATGCTCATTCGCTTCTATAGCCGACACTTTTGCTGCACTACAAGTTAAACGCTGGTAATATTTGGTACGCACATACATCACGCCTTCACGATTAAGTACGTCTGTACCGATAATAATTGGTGCATTCATACTTTCACTAGGTACAACTAATAAATCAACTTCAAGTGTGATTTCTTCAAATTCAATTAAGAGAGTTACAAAAGAAAATACTCGAGTGATAGTATGACCGACACCTTTTAACTCACGGTATATTGGTTTCATAGAACATGATAAATGATTAATAACGGAGGATGAAATAAGAGACACGTCTAAAGCACCGCTGTCTATAAGAATATCAATAGGCATCCCTTGAACCACTCCAACCATGACATCCCTATAATCATTTAAATTAGGCGAGGAACAAAAATTAACATTACTCTTCCTCTGATCGGAACGCTGCTTAGCAAAACAAACGTTGATATGATGACCTAACTTTTTACAATACGCACAAGTTATTTTAGAATTCGGCTTTATATCATTATTGGTCGTAGTAGTACAAGAAGACGGTATTTGGTTTTTCGGACACGTGGCTTGTTTATGTCCCGTTAAACCACATGAAAATCATTTGAAACTTGCCGGTGGAGCCGTACGCTTAACAACACGTGGTTTTACTACCTGCCTATGAATTGGGGCACTATGAGATAAGTGATGATCATTTTTAACTACAGCTGGCTTAATGAAGGTGGATACGTAACTAACTATATCACACGGCATAAGTTTTTCATTTGTAGCCGACGCTTTTACATGCGGATCGGTAATTCCACGGATAACGATTGCGCTTATAAGTTCCTCACTCAACCCTTTTACCATACGCAAACGCAGTAAGGATCGTCGAGCATATTCAGCAAAAGTTGGGTAAGCGTCGGAATTAGTACTCATGACGTCGTACAAAATACTAGCCACATCAATATTTTTTACACATAAAGATTTAAAATCTTTCTTAAAGTTACTCCACGAGCGATCCGCAGTAACCCAATCATTTAGCCATGACTTAGCGTCACCCTTGAGGCAGTTACCTATACGTGACAAACATTCAACATCACTCCATTTATTAATACTTTGCGCGCGGTCTACCTCATCGAACCAAGAATCAACGTTATGCACGTTAGGATCGAAATTAGACACGTAATAATCACGGGAACAACTAGTTTTTAAGGAATGTATAGCCTCAACAATCTCCTTAGTAGAATCACTAGTCGTAGTGCTTAATTCAACATTACAATTATTATTAGTTGACGCCGTCACCGATGACCTATCTTCTAATGCATTTAAACGAGTAACAATAGATCGTAAAGATTCGCACAATTCCGAATTACGAGTAGAGCGACTGCGAGAACTTCGGCGTCGTTTCGAAGTACTACGCTCTCTTGAACGACTACGCATACGCTTACCTTTACCCATTATCACAATTACTTACGCTTTTTCAATAAAAATATGTAACAATAACCAGAAATTAACAAAAGGTGAAGTGGCCGATCCCACTTCTGATATAAACACTAAAGAACAATACTAGAAACTTTATTACATAAATCTAACAATTAATTATTTACTTTTAAACACTTGTATTAATTTCTGGTTTGTGAATTCTTTAACAATAACTATCCAGTGATGCACCGATTCGTATATCGCGCTAGCCCGAGAAAAAGTAAAGTCAACTTGACAAAGACTCTTGACAGCTTGATGTACTTAGTCACAGATTAATTATCAAATATTAAAATAGTGGATTTATCCTTATAATATATATATATATATATATATATATATATATATATATATATATATATAATTTTATTACAGATACTATTCTATTACTACCATATTCTGACCTTCACTCGAATCTTTTGAGCCGCGACGAAGAGTAAGTTATAAGCATAACTATAAATACACGTAGAATTAGTGTGATTACGTCTTTATATCGCTTCAAATCAAACACCAAAAAATGTCGTTAGTATATAATATTTATTTTATTATAATAATTAGAAAGTAAAGAATATTGATCATTTCTTTTTAAAGAAATATATTTTCGGATTTTTTCGCAGATTTATTTTGATTCACGAAAAAAACTAAAAAGATAGTTTTATTTGAAATTTTAAATATTACCGTAAATCTAAGGAAGTATTTAATAATGTCTTGTTACCATGGTTACCCTACGAAGGGGTCAAGCACAGAAATTAGCATAGGCCAGAAACTTTCCGAATCTAATACGGAGGAATAAATAAAAACTTTGCGAACCCTTTATTGTAGCTTCGTGTTATTTCTAATCTGATTTTTGCTTTCTCTGAATTTAGAGTGACTCATTAATATTAGAAGTTATTAGTCTACATAATTATTTAAAGTTTGCTCGTAGTACAACCAAACCTTGATAAAATGACAGTTTTTAATACTTAAAAAAAAAGATATTGTAAAATTAAGAGTCTTTTAAATGTTAATGAAAAATTTAATACTGGTATACCTATAGGTAACTTCAAACTCTTTACTTACGTATGTAGATCTCATATTTATTTTATTTTAGGTATAAGTATTATGATATGAACAAAACCAATATATCTCGTTCGAGTTCGAGCTAGATATTTGGACTTAGTTAATTTTAATTTACACCATTATTCTATTGGCGGTTTTCTCTGTTAGATGTTTTAGAAACTAACGACAGCAGTTCACAGTACTAATGACTTTATTATCTATGGATATTATGATCTATACTTTTCGACTCACTGGTACAAAAACTCTACTTAACGGTTTTAACATTTAGTATGGAATAGATAGTTTTAACATTTAGTATGGAAAAGGTATAATGAGTTTTATATCACTTACTTGGGAAATAATTGATTCCCCATACAGACTTTCATCGTGCCTTTCGCCTCCTTAAGGGATGATTTCCGGGATAAAAACTATCCTACGTCCTTTTCAGGATCTCAAACTATTTAAATTGGTTCAGCAGATTTTTAGTTTATCCATTACGAACCAAAATATAAAAAGAAAGTTTTTTTTTCTCTTTTACAATATTAGTATAGAAAAAATAAAAATGTGAAACTTATACGTTCTTATGATACCTCATTACCGAACGCAACTTGTCACAGAAGTGTCAATTGGCGATGACGTGTGCATGTCACGGTATAGCAGTGTAACTGACATTGACATTATTATGATGCTATTTTTTTTATAAAAGTCAGAATACGCGGCTCGCTAACAAGTAGCAAGTCAATAGGAGTTTATTTAAATGACAAGAACTGGTAATACTTTGGACTGACTTCTTGAATTGTACAGTAATTATTAACTGTACAGTGGACATTAATCTTATACTAGCCGGCCCGACGTTGTTCTATAAACATTTTTGTGATCTTTGAATTCGTACAAAAATTTCAAGCAATTTCAAGTATTCCCCAATTTCCTAATATTTACTCCTTCAATTTTTAGTGTACCTCAAAAGGTAAAAAAGCAACCCTTATAAGATCACTCTCATGTCCGTCTGTCTATCTGTCTGTTCGTGTGTCACCATCGATTTTCTCAGGAACCGGTAGACCTAGCAAGTTGAAATTATTACCAAATACTGAGGTCTATAATCATATAATCATATAATGTGATTACATTAGTACGTGATGTTTCATAACTTATATACATACATCTAAAGGCAGTGGTAGCCCAGTGGTGACACGCTCGCTTGGGACACCGAGTGAAGCGGGTTCAAATCCCGGGTCTCGCACCTCTGATATTTTCATGTGCGAATCATTTATAACATGATTACCGCTTGACTTACGGTGAAGGAAAACATCGTGAGGAAACCTGCATGTCTGAGAGAACCTAGCAAGTTTTCACAGACATGTGAAGTCCGCCAACCCGCACTTGGCCAGCGTGGTGGACTATGGCCTGATCCCCCCACGTATTGAAGGGAGGCCCGTGCCCAGCAGTGGGACATTAAAAAGGGCTGAATACATACATACATACATACATACATACATCTATATTCCATACTAATTTGTACTTAATATTTTAAATGCATAAGGAACTCCATCGTCTGCCTGCCTGTCTATCTGTATGTCTGTCTGTTTACCTTTCCACGTTTAATTCGCTGTATTGATTTAGATGAAATTTATAGAATGTAGACTATGCGTTACTCCAGCTCATAATTTATCATCCAAATTTATCCAATCGTTTCAGCGTGAAGGAGAAACAAACATACAAAAGTTCACATTTATAATAATAGTGTGTTTACGTAAGACGAAAAACAAATACCTTCTAACAATATTTAATCTGTAAATTTATTTCGGCTTCAAGAGAAATAATTTTTATACTTCCGTTTAAATCCTTTTAAAGCAAAAGATTAATATTAAAGCTGAAAAGAGCCGAGAAATAGGAAAATATAAGCCGGGGAAAGAACTAAACCCTTAGACAGCACAAGTTGTCACCTGCTGCTTTACTCATAATATTTATGATCATTCGAAACATACTAGGTATAATACTTTATGTATAGTGTTTGTCCAAGTATTTTATAGCCCGAAAAAATAAAAACATTATCGTCAAATAAGAATCAATAAACACGATGATCCAGTGAGCAACGTCAGCAGAAGAAAGCCGGCAATTTAAAATAAACAATAATACTTATCCCTCATTCTTATCGATACATAAAATTCTAATCTATTTATCTGATATCACTATTTTTAGATACTGTGACCCAGGGATGGGGCACAGTATATTAGTCGATACAGTAGACTAAGCATAACATTTAATGGAATACAAAAATAACAATCTCATAACCTCAATGATGTGTCTATAACATTACTGTGGGAATAATAACCAAACTTATGTAAGCAAAATAGTAAATGAATATAGTTTTCTAACTAATATTAAATCTCATCTATATATATATATATATATATATATATATATATATATATTATATATATATATATATATATATATATATATATATATATATATATATATATATATATATATTATTTTATTTAGGATATCCTCGCTCGATCGCTCAAGTGCGTCCCTAGGTACGTACATATAGCATTGCTACAGTTTAATAGATCTTTTCCAGAGGAATAATTTCGTAATATTGGTTACATATAAGGTTGGTTGAGTTAGGTGCTGTCTATTAAAGCTCCCAATCAGCATGATTTTTTCCGACATTTTCAACAATCATTCAATTTACACAAAACCTTAATGAATGATTAAATAAAACCTTTCTGGTGAATAACTCCAGCCATCGATGAAAACCGTATGAAAATCCGTTTGCAAGTTTATGTGCTTGTGGCTTTCAAACAAACAGACAGACAGACACGGCAAGGGATTTTTTTATAAGGTTAAGATTGATTTAACAC